TCAAATTAATATGAACCATGCTCAATACGACACGCAGCATATGATTTGATATCACTCTGAATATTTTTCGTAGATGCAACTTCATCCTAAATAAAAATCGAAACGATGTGCTATATGCTACTGATGTCGACAAATACAAGTAGTTTGCATCATCAATCGAAATTGAAATGCCTGGCGAAAGAATGTTAAAAAGATCGGAGAAAAGAGAATGATAATAGTGATTGGTGTGAAAACAGATAAACAATGAAGTCTGAGACGATTGATCGGCACTTTGCAGATGATTAATTTACTGTATGGTTCTCAGAGTTTACTAACATGTTCTAACGCATTCCATTGTCAACACTTGTGTTCTCATGCACTACAACGGGTTTACAATCAACATCTAGATTAGTGTATTTTTGACTAGCATCCTCATCGTCGTGTTTTGAGGTTTAATATTCCTTCATTTGTACCAGTCTGTGTTCTTACTTTGCGACATAAAAATTGCAGTGGTTCTTCGTTTTCTCAAGTATAAGTAATAAGCGACGCAGACATAACATTGTCAAACATCATGTTGTGATAACATGTGAACAAAGCGTGTAGATATACGTTCAACTGCGAAAATAATCAAATTTTGGATCAAGATCAGAAAATTTTAAGAATCTCGTGGGGCGGGATAGTAGATGCGCACTGTTGAGGAGTCCCATATTAGGACGAAACGGCCAACCAGTGCTTATATTATGATTGGGGCTTGAGAACACAAGAATACCATGAGGTAATAGATGTTGACACACCCGCAATGTTAGTTTAAGTATAAATAGGACAACACCACATCAACTTACCATATTTCATGATTTACCAACAGAATGTTGACGTAATAGAATACAATTTCTTTGAAAAATGTGATAACCTTAAATAATTTAAAAAATGAGATAGAGAATTATCTGAAATAACTTAACATCTATACTATGGAATTCATCACTGGTCATTATCGTACCGAATTCTTAATTATCGTATTGTAATAGTTGAATTCATGAGTCAATTGAAATTAGACCACCATAGAAAACCTGGAAGCACTAACCAACCGTTTCACTTTTGTATTGAACTCCTCAGCAGCGCGCATCCATGATCTCACCTCGCGAGATTCAAACCTAAAACCTACTACTCTGATCATAAAAATATTGACTAGTTTAAGACTGAACTATTTTTAACATACCATATAATAACTGTGTTCAATAATAAAAGAGAATAATTAGCGAAGTAAACCCACTGAACATTGGACAAAACACTTGGGGTTTAAATGGACTAGTACGTCTGTTGAGCAGATCTATTGAATAATTAAACACCCGTTCCATGTTACCGAAGTGTAAGACAGTTTTTCATTGTAAACATATTGACATTTGATATCCAACTCCATACTTTCATCAAATTTATAGGTTGGAACATCAGTTTTAATGCAAAGCTTGACTTTATTGTAACATTGGATGACTTTTAAGTGGATACAAGTTTGCATATTCCCTTTTCTGTAAACTTATCCAAATTAAATGACTAGTAACACTATACTAAAACATATGAGCTTATTTCATGCGTATAAACAAGCAAACTGATGTAAATCTGATCCAGTGTTAAATGTTAATTACTGATTATATCCATTTCCCCTATAGGAGAGAGTAATCGTGTACTTTGAATCTTGTTCGAGTGTTTAATCGAAAACACTGTGTAAACCCCTATCAATCGAGGTAAATTGGAAAGTCTAATGTATCACTAACTACTATCTACCTTGATACAATGTTGTTTGGAGAAATAAATAAAACAAGTCACTCTAATAATCGATAAAATCAATTACTGTTCGATTGAGCTGTGTTAAATTACTACTCTAGTTATGGGGCAGTAAAATCAGTGGTTGTAGATGGATGAAACTGTTTAGAAATGATGAATTGTACTCATTTTCCATCTAAGTAATACTAATATCCTGACTTCATAGCAGATACTGGTGTAGTAGAATTCGGGGCTTTAACTCGAATCATCCATGGATAAATAAATTCAATGCAACGATCTAACCAGTAATAGGCGTTAACTAAACAAACCATGCTACATGACCTAAGTAAGTTGGTATAACTCCTTATGTGTTTAGAATGGATTCATTAGGAATCAAAGACTCATATGCCATAATATGGGGACTACTTTTGATATCTTCCCAAGCACCCACCAACTAGAACGTCAAGTCGAAAATAAAACATTCATGAGGAATACAACTCAAACAGCTGCAGCTAACTTTTTAAGGACACTGTACGCTCGAAAGATCGCGATTAAATCACCAGTTCAAGAAACGAATGTCTCAGCTGCTGATCGTTTCGGTTCGCAAGCTAGAATATAAGATCCCGTACAATAACCAAAATCTAAGATTGATAAACAATTGATATAACAGAATATGACAATAGTATGATTAAGATAAATGAACTAACACCTGTCTGTTCATTATAATTATCGAATATTTTACCTGTCTGCTTGTCTTCTTCTACTACAGGTAACATGAAATCCATTTTTACACTCGATGTATTGATATGAAATGTGGTTAAGTAGAGAGACACATATCAGCCTGTTTGCAATTAAAGTTGGAATCATTCCTAAGCAGCAACTGTTACTTAATCGAACTGTTTTTTATTTTTATTTAAACAAATAAATATCGGTACAAGAAGGCGACAAATAGATATGCGCCAAATAAATCATTCGATTTGTGTAAGGGCTGAAATACTGACTGGTGCCCAAATTGAAACACGTAGTTTTCTTAGGAAGCCACTTCGCGAGTCTTCAATCTTGAGGTCTGATCAACAAGGCAGTGAGACATTTGGAGATGCAGTCCCATGATAGCCGGTCATCAATAATTGGTTTATACGTCGTTTCTTTCTTCAGGACACTAGAGCCCATGTGCATCATTGGTTTGGAATCAGGGTTTTCCAACTCCCCTAGGTGGACCCTTTTCATCCACCAACCCGGTTAAAGCGCCGGATATTCGCTTTTGGTTCTCTTACTTTCGTAGAGAACACGCCCTCTACGAGAATGCCGTGAGCAGAACGTCTCTGGCAGTGGCTGTATATGCGTCACCAGTCAGTCAGCTACAACGTAGGACCAGTCACAAATGTGCATCTGTTCAAGTTGCCATATCTCACTAGCACAAGATGACCACCGAATTCATAGTAGTTAATTTAATGGTGGTAATGCATAAGAGAAAGATTACATATAAGGATGTAGTACAGAAAGAAAGAATTGGTTAGTAGAAAGAATATAAACCAATTTTAATCTCACGGTTTAACGGAGGAAAGAGGATGTATACACCGACTCCATTGTGACCGATTCTGATTATGCACAGCCATGTGAGAGCACTTCGAGAGGGAGAGCTTACTGTCCCCACTCTCGGTCGTACCAGGGAATTTTCGAACAGTCAAAGGAAATGAGTAGTTTACAACAATATATTATAAAGGTGAGGCATTTTCTAATAAACAGTAAGATTTAATTAGTATTACCGAGCCAACCAGATATTATTCAGAGACGAATATAAAGAAATACACTCTTATTGTTTGTGTACAACATACTGAACACAATGGTTATGTTAATCAATCGCTAAACAGACTAACTAGTGCTCTAATACCATGTACATCACCAAAAAAAAACAGATGCTCGTGCAATATTCAGTGCTATTTGATGATAAGTATATGATCACCCAAACGACAAAAGAAAAACTATGAGATTAGACCATGAAGTTATTGACTGCTATAGCTGATCCAAGCTTGTAGGTACAAATTTACGGGTTAGAATCACTGTGATACTTGCAACTAGTAATTAAAGATATTGAGTAACACAATGTAAAATTGTTTGCAATTGCATCTTCCCGTTACTATTCTCTACATCTGAAACAAGATGTCACCTCTTATTCTACATTATTTATGCTCATTTCTTTCTTTAGCACTGTGTTCATAACATTTCAATCAACTTTATTCATTTACTTTACATCTTGTTAATTGTGATAAATATACAAGATATTAATACATTATATTCAATCAGTAATCATTAATGCAGAACCCTATTACAAATGAACAATTGATACGGATTGATAAAAGACATTTGTCCCATAGTACACATTAAAATAACTCCTATATTGAAAAATTTTTTGTTAGCTGTTTAACCAAAATAAAATCCTATCCCACTCACATTCATCTATCCATTCATACATTCATGAAACATACACATACAAAACAAGCCACTATTAACTCCTTATTGTATAGAATAACTAGTATACACTCTAAACACATTTATATTCTCCAACCGAGCATAAAGCGAAAAGGAAAAAAAAACAACAAACCACCACAACAACAACAATGTAAAAGTCGAATCATAAGTTAGAAAAGAAGGAATGAATGATTTAAAAAAAAAAGAAAGAAAGAGAAACGAACAAGCGCTATGATTAAAGAATGAACATATATATGTATACCCGTTACCTCTTTTTACCTATTGTCTATATTCTAAAGATATGTGCACACAAACTACAAATTTATATGTATATATATTTATATAAGTAAATATTATAGAAAATTAATATTGAGAAATAATTGAAAATAGTAATTTTAATAAACCATCGCATAGAAACACCATTTGGGGGGCAGGAGGGATGGAAAACATAGATCCTAACATTATTCATTGGAAAAAAAATATGATCAGAACTCAATCAGTCATTGTACATACATAAATACACACATACACACACGCACACACATATACATGGAGAGAGAAAATAATATGCACCACAAAAAATCTCTCATTTTTTTTTAGTTATAGATAATAATTTAATCGTGAGGGGAGAAAAAAAAGAGGGGGGGAAAGGGAATTATTAAAAAGGCAACATGAACAGAAAATCACAACAACAATTTGTTTTTCTTTACAGAATGGTGATAAACACCTGTAATTTCGTTCCAAATAAATAATGATAATAATAATAATAATAATATGGAAAGGTTTTTCATATCCTAGGATCGTTTAGATAATTCATTTGATAACCAGTCTAATCCTTCAAATAGTCCTTCACCTTGAGTAGCACAAGCAAGTTGTATATGCCACTAAATTAAGATTAGAATATTAAAAAAACAAACACGATATGTACATTAACGATATACATAAACTATAGGGTTATGTAGTTTATGAATAATAAGAATTGAATTATGACTTATCTGTATAATTTACTACTAATGAAAAATTAATTTTATCAAATTCGGGTGAACAAGACAATCCGAATCAAAGATTTCTTCTTTAAGTTTGTTGAACGAAATCCATAAAATACTGAAGTAATTGAGTAGATCAATACGCCTACTTGGGAGTATCATCAGTTGATCTGATAAAATCTCGATATCAGTTTAGAAAACTCAGTTGACTTGTGTCGAAGTAGATTACTTGCATTATAGGCAAGATGTTCACTTGCCAACCAAAATGGCGAATATATCGACAGACAATTCACTGTTCTACTTTACAGTTATGAAACACAGCTTTTCAACACAGAGAATATTCGTAGGTTACTAGTATTTGAAAATAAATACTTTTCATGAATTTCTCATGCATGATAGAATCATCGAGTGGTCAACACTGAGGCCAAAAAGTATACTACATAAAGGTTAGGATATATATTACGCATGTTCAACCACCGTCTACGGCAACATCCGGTGTTGGCTGATGGTGTCAGTCAGTCAGTTGCAACGTAGGACCAGGCACGTATATGCATCGGTCCAAGTTGCCACACCGCATTAGCACAACAAAATGAACACCGGATACATAGAAGTAGTTAATTCAGTGGTGGTAATATATAGAATAAAGATTGTGTATAAGGAGATAGCACAAGAAGAAAGAATTAGTTCCTAGAAAGAAAGATATGAAGTGTTTTTAATCTCTTAGTTTAAAGGAAGACAGAGAGTGTATACACCGACGCCATTGTGATCGATTCTGAGCCATGTCACCAAGAGTCTCTAACCATTAGTTACGATAGTCACGCGGACCCCAACCAGGCAGTCTGCATTTACCAACATGGCTCAGACCAGAAGTTAGTGACTTCAAGCAGTGATGCCACGTTTTGGTTTGGCCGCCCCTAACTCTCTTCCAGTCATCCCTAACACCGGTTAGCGTTGCGCGTCGCGGTAATCGGTGTTCAGGCATACGCAGCACGTGGCCCAACCATCTCAGTCAATGAAGATTTACAACCTCACCAACTGATTTACTATCATTCCCTAATACCCTGCGTGTAACCTCACTATTACTTACCCGGTGATCCCAGCAGATACCAGCAATATTTCTAAGGCACCTGTGGTCAAATACTAGTAACTTACGAATATTTTCTACTCTTAAAGGCCAAGTTTCGCAGCCGTATAGTAGAACGGAACGAACTGCCGCGCAGTATACTCGTCCCTTAATTGATAGACGGTTATCTCGCCTTCGCCATAGATGACGTAAGTTGGCAAAGGCCAAACGAGCTTTTCGAATCCGCGCTGAGATTTCGTCAGACACCAACCCATTAGGGCTGATCAGACTTCTAAGATAGGTGAAGTTGTCAACGCGTTCGACTACTTCACTCCCTATCCTTAGTTCAGGTGTTGATGCAGACCAGTCCTGAAGCAACAACTTGCATTTAGAGGGAGAAAAGCACATCCCAAACATTCTAGCATTGTTGCTCAGTGCTACCAAAAGACTCTGCATTTCATCAGCGTCTTCACCAAACAGGACTATGTCATCTGCGTATTCTAAGTCAATAAGTGGACCTCCTGTTAGGAGATCAATACCCGAGAATTCAGTCGATGAGAGCGTTATTTCCATCAGGAGGTCTATGGTTAAGTTAAACAAAAAAGGAGAAAGTGGGCAGCCTTGACGGACACTACTTGAGGTTGCAAAAGCAGATGACAGTTCGCCATAAGCTCTGACTCAACTAGTAGTGTTCGAGTAAAGAGCCTTCACAAGGTTTATGAACTTCTGAGGTACGCCTTTCAATGACAGACACTGCCACAGAACCGCTCGGTTAACAGAGTGAAACGCTGCTTTTAAGTCAAGGAAGACCACCATTGTCGGACGCCGATAAGTATGCCTCTGTTCTAAAACCTGACGAATGGTGAATATGTGGTCGATGCAGCCACGACCAGGTCTGAAGCCAGCCTGATTTTCACATGTTTGCAGTTAATGAGTCTTAGTTAGGCGTCCGAAAATTATCGAGGCTAGTATTTTAGATACTATATTAGTCAAACTAATCCCTCTGGTTGTCACAGGATGATTTTGACCCTTTCTTAAATATTGGGACGATAAGTGATTGTGACCAGTTAGATGGGATAACGTCAAACTCCCAGATTTTAGCTAAAATATTAGTCAACCTAATCGCTAAAACTAGACCACCATCCTTAAAGACCTCTGGGGCCAATCCATCTGGACCAGCTGCCCTTCCTCGTTTCAGATTAGCTATAGCCTTCTGAACTTCAGCTAGAGTTGGGGGACCTACTTCAATGTTCCATTCATACTGTCTGGGAATAGAGGGTAGTTGTAGAGTAGCTGAAGGCCAGCTAAACTGCTCCTTAAAGTGTTCCGCCCATCGTTCTAAACGTCTGGACTGGGAGCAGATGAGAGTGTCTTTTTTTTCAGAAATAGTCTGACTGGCTGATGGTGTAGGAGTATGTTGGACGTTCGAACCAAAGAAATGCAAAGACTAAATTTATCTGATATGATAAACAAGACCAATGAAACAGAGTATGATGAACTTTTTCTAATGGAAATAAGTGAATCATACAAACAGCCATTAAAAGTTAGTTACCTAGCGATTAAGTGAAATGTACTGATGATCTATATACATTGTGATGGACTTTGAAAACCTTATACTTGATAAGTTTATTACAAAAGTGTTACTTAACGGGATTATACAATTCATCCTCTGGTATTAATACGTCTACTTCTGAAATCGTTAAAACACACTTAAATATTGCTCGTTTCCAAAATAAAGTGGTACGTGATCTGAAATTCTAATCTCATATTCGGCAAAAATCTTTAGAACCACATTGGACGGTCCTATCTTAGTCTTTTATCCCGTACACGTTGATTCATAAATAGTAATACTGAACAGAAATCAGCTGCGTTACATGGTGAAGTGAATAAAACTACATAATTCTTACATGTTAGTAAAGGTAAGACAAATTGAGGAGAAAAATTTAACTTATCCACTTACAGGTCTATTTCGAATATCGCGTAAACGCAACTTTTCAGCAACTTCCGCAGTAGACATAGCATTCGGTAAATCTTGTTTATTTGCAAAAACTAAAATAACAACATCTCGTAGTTCATCCTCTAAAAGCATTTTATTCAACTCCTCAGCAGATTCACTGATACGATCACGATCATTGCTATCAACCACAAATATGAGACCCTGGAACATATTGTGATAAACACATCAAATTTACTTGTGTATTCTGGAAATAGTGTCTCCATAGGCGTCGAATTTTATCTTGACCACCTACATCCCATACTGTGAAATTAATATTTTTGTACTCTACAGTTTCTACATTGAATCCAATTGTTGGAATTGTTGTGACTACTTCACCCAATTTAAGCTTGTATAGTATTGTCGTTTTTCCTGCAGCATCAAGTCCGACTATAAAAATCGAAACAGGTTACTTTATGTTGTAAAGTTACATGGACAAAGCAACTGAGGTCAAAAATAAAAAATGGAAGACATTACAAGCTTTTTGTTTAAGTGTATCAAACCAGATGGATTTCCGGAAAATCTGATCCGACTTGGTGATTGAGAGCAGATACTTACAAATTCCACACACATCGAGGTATTATCCCCTTGGTCACAAGATCTATTTTACCTTCATTTGGACTACGTGACACTGAAAGGTTTTAAATCAATGTGGTAAAAGGTCAAATATATAAACTTGTAGATGGTTTCCAGGGTTTACATTACTTACAACCAGTTTTGTGATGCGTAGCAAGACAAAAGAGTGGCTATCCGTTCACATTTAAGACAACGTATTTCTATATTTACTTAATATCTACAATGTTAATTTTAAGGTTCTTAAACATTAATATCGATAAACTTAAGGAATCAGATAACTTTCAACCGAAAGAACAGAAATGAAACCAAGTGATCGCCATAATCAAACATCTGATAAAATATGGTATTAAACGTTTGGACCTACGTCACCGTTTGTATAGAAGATAATGATACTCACAAAGCAACTGAAAATGTGATTTAATGAGACTTACTTTTTGTTTCAGATAATACGCGAGTCACACAATGAGTCACCTAGATACGGTAGTGGGTGCAGTAACACAAGTAGTGATTTGCGTAGTCTACTCAAGCTACTAAGCAACCACCTTGAAATGTATCCACACTTCCCCATAAAGACACCTGACACAACACATGTTCACATTTGACAAATAGATGTAATGAGGACGAAAAGCAAATGTCCGGCGCTATAACCGGATCCAAACTAATGGTGCACATGGGCTGGTTCCAGTATCCTGAGGGGAAAAATAGCGTATGAACCTATCGTTGGTCACCGGTTACGATGTTACTGCATCTCCTCACGATGCTCCATTGCCTTGTGGGTCAAAGGCTATGGGTGTGGCTCCTTAAGAAAACCACTTGCTTCAGTTTGGGTACCCAAGCAGCATCACAGCCCTCACACAAACAAAATTTTGTGTGGCGCATATATATTTGGTGCCCTCTTGTACCAATATTTGTGTTCAAATAAATAATAATGAAAATAGATGTCATGTTGTACGAAGGTAACACGGCTAGCATGGTGTAGGTGTTTAACCATTAATTTATCCGTGAAGTGTCAAAAACATAGATACAATGAATCATATGAAACATGTACGTTCCTGCACCAAATTTCATGCATTAAAAGGTCAAGGAAACTAATGTTAACACTGAACGGTTGCTCAGAAAGCTCTTAAGTCAGTGAAATAAGTACTACAACCTGTTTCCTACATGTATACAGTCTCTGACTCACTTCTACAGAAGAGCATTAACCAACGGTTTAAATCAATGAACAGAGTGTAACTAAAAGTTTACACAAGTTATTAACAATAAAATAACCAGATGAATCTCGATATACAGAGATACAGGATGTATGTCAGGCATGTTGTCGCTAGAAGATCTGATACACAATAATAACAGAAAAAGATAAATTGGTCATTCTCACTCATTAAAATTCTCATGGACTTCTTCCCAAATAATCTTTGAAAGACCGATGAGATTGTTAGACCCATGATGCGTACACGTAATGCCGTAACGCAAACCCTTTAAAGTTCGTTCATTAAGTAATTCAAACAATGAAGCTCATTCTATAACTTCAGTCTTCAGTAGTATTAATCTCATCCACTTTAGTAAAGGTCTGAAGATTGCTAGATATTTCAACTTCATTAGTAGCCTGTTATGCCACACATTATCAAATGCTTCGCTGAAGTCCGCACAAAATAAACCTGCTTTTACGATGTGACTGAATTCCTTGAGGAGTGAGTGTTAACTAACATCAGTCTGCCTTTTATTATATAAACGTTCTGAACCTTCTGTTCAGTTTGGAGTTGGATTCAAACTGTCTCAACTATATCTTCAGTCTCAAGTGAGTGTAGCGGTAAATAAGTCCCCAAAATCAATAGCTCTGTAAGTTTTCGAAGATTTATACTGATCACATTAGTTTTAATGAACTCACCTGGCTGAAGGCGTTTGTCATGCATCTACACTAGATCACGAGTGGGTATGCCATGCCCAGCTTCTCCGAAAACCGCTAGTCAGCTCACATCAGTCACTTCTCGATATATCAATAGCTTATCAAATGTATTTTCCGAAATATTCGCTTCTTACTTCTAATTTAACTAGTTCGGTGTGCTTTGAACACAAGTGTTACTAGTTAAGATATTGTCAAACTCCAAATACTTGTGGAATTTTTATCGTTGAGCCCGACGAAATCTGATACACCCATTTGTAAACTATGGGTGTGTTCCTTGTTGGAACTTTATATATCATTCTTTAATATCATTTTTATATGTTGCAACAACTTTTTACTTATTCGCTGATTTTTCTCCTTGTTTATTGCCATACTTTATATTCGTCATGACTGAACAAACTCCCAAGCTACTTCGGATCAAGACTCTTACGCCACCATCATTCCAGCTAATGCCATTCTGACCCGACAAAAATGAAGCCTGGTTCTGCTACTCAGAAGCTGACTTTCACAAGCACGGTGTGACTGATCCACGCACACAATTCATCACAGTAGTGAAAGCACTTCCATCACACCTAGTATGTTCCCTAGAGATATGTTGGAACATTCAGAAACTCTAAAAAGACCTATTCTCAAACGCAGAAACCTAACCAATCGACAAATGTTGGATCAACTGCTCAATACTATCGAACTATAACATGGCTCAGCAGCAGATATGGTGTCATAAATGAGAGCGGTCATTTGCCAACGGACCTTCGTCAATGGATTGTTCGGACATTTTTACTGTCTAAGCTTCTTTAACGGGTGCAGGCAATGTTTGTCTCATCTCTAAAAAACGCAGGCGAACGCTAGAGCATAAAACGCCGAAGTCTATTCAGCCAAAGAAAAACATCAAAAGACACGAAATGACGTTACGGAACTCTGTTATACTCTGAAACGTTACCTTCGTATACAATATGGCCGTAGACGATCCAATCTGCTTCGGTTTGGGCACCCGGGCAGTATCAGAGCCCTCACACAAATCAATTGAGATTCGTGTGGCGCATATGTACTTGGTGCCTCCATGCACCTATACCTATGTGTTAAAACAAATAAGTAAATAAATAAATAAGGACGATCCCAAACTCCTTAATGGAGAGCTTCATGAAAACAATCTTTCTCTAAATCACGAGAGATAGATAACCCTGATTGCTTCTGGTATCATAATCAGCACGAAAAATCTCGAAATTACAGAAAACCCTTCAATTTTCCCATTTCCAAACTGCCCTAAATGAAAAATGTTCCAGGAAACTTCTCAGCCGTCAAGCGTTAACAGCAACCGCAGCCGGCGAAAATAGCCGTCTGTTATACGTCACTGATATCATAACGACAGTTCGCTACCTCATCGATACTGGTGTAGAATTTAGCGTTCTTCCAGCGAATTCTAACGACCGACTTCACGAACCGGTTTCAAACTTACAGGTGGCAAACGGAAAACCTATCGCCACAAATGGTAAACGGTACGTTTATCTCAACTTGGTTTTACGCAAACCCATCCGCTGAATTTTCGTTGTTGCAGATGTTTCTATGCCAATCATTGGTATAGACCTGATGCAACCCTGCGATCGACTCATCGATACGCTCAAACGGAGGCTAGTAGACGGAAACAATAATTTATTGTGGATAGTGGATGCGCACTGCTGGGGAGTCTAAAAAAAAGGACGATACGGCCGCCCAGTGCTTCCAGGTTTCCAACGTTGGTCTAACATCAATCGATTCATTATTTCAATCAAAAACCAATTCGTCTGTTTGCGTAACTTCTTTTTCGGATTGTAACTGTCCCTAGTCACAGTAGGGTACACGATAGATCCATACTATCAACAAATACTCAATAAGTATTGTGGGATATACCAACTACAACCAAAATTACCACGCGTGACCAGTAATGTTACACATCACATCACGATTACAGGACCACCTGTATTCTCGAAAGCGCGCTGACTGACTCCTGAAAAGCTAAGGCTGGTTAAAAACGAATTCGATCACATGACAAATGAAGAAATCATCCGACCGTCGAGGAGCCCATGAGCATCTTGTGGAATTATAGTCTACTATGATTTTAGTACTTCTCTAATAATAGACCTAATCCTAAAATTGTGGATTGATCACGATATAACCACCTAATCTATAAGATCTTACGTGGAAGCCACATCATCTTCTACACCAACTCACTGTATCGTCACAATTACCAATACATGATGAAGAACAAGCGTGGGCTGGAAATAGAACGGTATATTTAATATGAATAAAAGATAAAAGGTAGCATTCAGTAGGGACTACGCCTGCATGGTATAGCCATGCCATCCGACCAACTCGGAATAATTCCTATTCATTGTTTCCACCTTATCCATGTTGAACATTTATTTCACATATTGTCTCGTGTTAGGGCCCAGTGCCACTATACTACTCTCCCGTCAGAATCAAAGCGATGTTGGTTCGATATCAAATTGGATGGGATTGTCGCACGCCGGAGGTTTCCAAGGATAATAATAATCCCCTGGGTTTTGATAAGCTGAAAGACAAACATAAAAGAAGGCGGCAGCATCTGATCGAGAAACACATGTAATAATTTTAAAGTGTCTGGTTTAATGCTTAACACACTTAAAATGAAAATTAGGGTGGAGATTATTTGAGCTAAACAAAGTGGGATTATAATAACAATGAAATGACTCAGTATAGGGATGTTTTAAAAAGTCGCCGTAAGATACGTAGTAATAGCCGTAGGTTGATAACACTTCCTGCTTGGAAATATCAAAAACAAGCAATATATATTAAAAGCGATCCATATTGTAAAAATGCTAATATTGGTATTATATTTGGTTTAAATTATGAAGTCAAATAACGTATATGCCGGTAAGTTGTCCATGCATTGATTTCCAAATGCTTCTGCATTAGTAGTCTAACTGAAAGAACAAAAGTATAAGCGTGGAGAAGAATTACAACTAGTGTTCCGGCTAGTTTGATACGGTTTGTTTAGTTACTTGATCGTGATAGGATTTAGTAATACTACTAATACATATGAATTGTTATCAAAAATTTTTAAATACGTGAAAAGTAATAATTATTTGGATTTTGGACAGATAGATGAGAGCGATTCGTTAAACATGAGTGTATCCGTTAGAGATATGCTCTAGACTTAATGTTCTGATTTGCCACATACTATTTATTTATATTCCTACCTATCGGCTGATGGTACACACAACTTGGTTGCAAGTGTCATTTTAGTATAAGACGAAATACTATTTCATTGATATATAGTGATTATACGTTATTGAAATCAGTTAAGCCTATGTGCCACATTTGTAGTTGATAGGGTGCTTCAAGTTGTATTCGTCTAAATAAGTTTTTACAAGATAATTAACAGTGAGTGATGCTTATGTGATTATCAGGGAGAACATAAGTTGTAACCAAGGGGAGTACACTCCCAACCCATGTCTATGATAATGGCTTGAACCTCAGTCAGTGTTGGGGTAAACTGGACATTGATTTTTCTTATTTGTGTAAACTTATAGCCAAGCAGGATGCAAATGCTATGGTCCCTATAAAGAACAACAAAGATTGACGTCCAACTGGTGACTATCGGCGATTGAAAGCGTAAACCATTCCTGATCGTTACTCGTTGACTCACATTCACGATTTGACAGCTACGTTGAAAGGTACAACTGTTTTTTCAAAAATCGACCTGGGTGAAACATATAACCAAATTCCTATGATTGTTGACGACATTCCTATAACCGCCATCATCACTCCTTTCGGTCTCTACGAGTTTTCACTGATGCCTTTCGGCTTAAGAAATGCTGCTCAAACCTTTCAAGTTTTCATCGACGACATTTTACAAGGTATCCAATTCATAAATGCGTATGTTCATTACTGCCTAAGAATATCATCTCCACCACCTGGACCTTGTCTTCAAACGACTGCAAAAGTACTACATTACTGTAAACATTCGGAAAAATCAAATCGGAACTGACTTTCCAGATTTCCTCGGACGCACTATTGATGCTCAAGGCATCTGAAAATCAGAGTTGCGTCCATTCTGTATTACCAAGAACCGACCACAATCAGGAACCTTAGCACATTATCTTCGACAAACCTCAAACTGTATGTTAAACAGATGAGAACAAGTAAGGAAACTTCACTATGTGACATACCTATAGGTTGAGATCGTCCCTTGGTGTCAAAACATTATCGACGCATCATCTTCAATACATTGTACAAACTTTCTCATCCAGATGTTCGAGTAATTATCAAGCTCACCACAGACTTTGTTTGGCCTGATATGAATAAAGAAATAAGGAAGTCAGCACGCTCGTGTGTAAGCTGTTAGAAATCTAAGGTGATTAGGCAAAACGAATATCCCTTACGTTCATTCAAAACTCCCGACGCTTGGTAAGATCCTTACCAGATTCAAACGAATGCTCTTACCTTTTAATATAAGTAGACCATTTCACACGATTGGCAGAATCAGTACCAGTCAAGGACATTGCTGCTGAAAAAGTGGCCCGC